CCCTCCCCCCCAGGCAGCAGCCGCCCCGGCGCCCCGCCTGCGCCGCTCGTGCGCCCCGAGGCCCCAGGGGCGGGAGGAAGGGGCTCTCCCGGCACCTAGTGGCCGCCGCGGGCGGGTCTGGAGCGGTCACCCCAAAGTGTCATCTCTCCCGCTCTCCTCTCTCGCTCCCCCTCCCCCCCTGAATTAAAAAAAGAAAGAAAAGTGTCCATTCAGCAGCTCCCAGGGGCCCCCCTGTGCCAGGAGGGTTGGGTGAGCCCCGGGCGCCTGCGTGGGGGCTGCTGCCCGGGGAGGGGCTGGTACCTGCCCTGGAAAGTGAGCCCGAGTCTTGCTCAGACCCTCGGGAGGAGGAAGCGCTTTCCCGGGGGTGGGGGCGCAGGACCTGGTTGGGGCCGGTCAGGTGACTCAGGCCGGGGCTGCCCGCGGGCAGTTCTCCAGCCCAGGGGGGGGGTTGTCAGTGAAAGGCCAGAGGGGAGGTGGTGCAGGCGCCTGTGGGAGCTGGCAGAGGGGGGCAGGGAGAGGAGGCTGGGGAGCTGGAAGTGGGGCCCACAGAGGTGGCAAGAAGGGGCCCTGGCCAGGGGGAACTGCCCAGCAGAGGAGGAGGGGAGGGGACACAGGGGCGTGCAGGGAACTGCCCCCCCTGGTGCTGGAGGAGCCCAGGCCCTCTGTGGTGTAGTCTCTTCCCCACTATGGACAATAGGGACCTGGTCTTTTGCAGTTTCCTAGTGCCTTTTCAAGTTTTGCTTTTATTATTTTTTAAAGAGTGCTAACAGATTATGCCCAGAGTGGTCAGATGGGGACAGATCGCGAAATCTTTGAATTCAAACTTTGGTCTTGATCCTGTGGCAGTGGGAGCCATGGATGGTTGTAGAGGAGGAGAGTGGGTGAGCATAGCCCTGCTTTGATTAAGGCTATGTTGAGGGAAGGGGGCGTGTGTGGAGTGTGAGCCTTAGAATCGGACCCTCCACACCGGCACTGTTTATTGTCAGGTTAGCCATGGACCAGGGGCCTCATGAGAAAACTGGAGGCAAATAACCTAATTTTAACGGCATGGAAAATGTCCAGACTGGGCACCAGCTGGAGTTTGGAAGTGTATGTGTTTAATGGGGCCCTGACTCTGCCGTCAGTGATCTTGGCAGGGGGAGTAAAGAAGGGTGAGCTCAGGTGTTGGGGCAGAGCTGGGGCGGGCTGTGCGAATGTGCTCAGCGCCCTGGCTCGGGGAGCGCGTGGCACCGGAGCTGCGCTGGAGCGCGTGGGGCGCTGCTCTCGCGGTTTGAGACTCACACCGTTCAGCTGAAGCTGCTGACGTCTCTCTGGTGAACGTGCCGCTCGGCAGGCCAGGCGCTGGGAGCCACGTCACCTGCTCTTCCACTGTGGTTCGTAATTTGGCTCCGCTGCCTTCTCCTCCTCTTGGGAGCTTTTCTCTTTGTGGGAGAGGCGGGGGGAGGCCTGTGCTCCTAGACTGGGAATCACAGAGGGAGGTGGCCGGCGCAGACTCCCAGTTCAGCCCTTCATTGTGACTGTGGGGACACTGTAGGCTCAGAGCCGAGGTCAGGGACCCCAGCCACAGAGAGGGCTGTGGCCAGCCTGGCCTGGCCTGGCCTCAGCTCTCCCGCTGAGCACTCGAGCAAGAGAGGACCGGGACCGGTCAGCTGCCTGTGGTTCTAGGAGCCCGGAGCCACTCAGGATGCTGCTGAGCACGCAGACTCTTCCCGGGCACCTGGCCAAGCAAGGACCCCCTGGCTCCCTGGGGTGCCGGACAGCAGAGCGGCCCAGAGGCTGTGAACAGAGCTGGATGCTTCTAGGAAGACGAGCCTCCCCATGTTCACTCTGGGGAACTTCCTGCCTTGGAGACCCAAGAGCCACGTGGAAGGAGCCTTTCTCTAAGGCTAGAAGTCACGCCCTGGCCAGTGTGGCTCAGTGGTTATAGCGTTGGCCTGAGCAGCAGAGAGTCGTGGGTTTGATGCCGTGTCAAGGGCACGTACCTGGGTTCCAGGTCCAATCCCTGCCCCGGTCAACCTGAGAGAGGCAAGCAATCGATGTGTCTCTCTCATATCGATGTTTCTCTCTCTCTCTCCCCTTCTCTCCCTCTCTCCCACTCTCTCTAAAACTCAATGGAAAAATATCCTCGGGTGGGGATTAACTACAACAACAAGAAACGACTGGAAAAGTCACTGGAGGTCACCATTCCCAGAGCCAGCCTCCTGGGTCCTGGGTCTGCATCTCCCACACACCCGAGCACCTTAATCAGAGGAAGCTGAAGCAGCTGTTCACACACCTGCTGGGGATCGGGGCTGAGGGACGGAGCTCCTGCAACTCAGGGCCCAGCTGTGTGACCCCGGGCAGGTGTCTCAGCCGCCCTGTGAGGCCCCAGCTCCCTCCGCTGTAAAACTAAGGTTGTCAAGATCCAGAATAACAGCGTGTATGAAAGGCCTTCTGTGGGGAACCAGGATCGCGGGACTGCTCGCCCGATGCAGCGTTTGGGAGGATTTCTGCGAAAAGAATGGCTTCCTCAAGGCCATCCCGCTGAGAGGTGAGGCTTCGAGGTGGGTGGCTCAGCGATGAGAGTGGACATGCCTTCGTTCCTGGAGTTTAGACCTGACTTGGAGCTTGTTTCTGGAACGGCCTTTAGACCCCAGAGCAGGGCCTCTCTGAGGACCGAGGTAGTGAGCTGGACGCAGTGGGGAGTAACAAGTTCCCGGATCCCATGAACAGGAGGGTCCGCCTCTGCCTCATAGGCCCTGGCATTTGGCCCCGGAGAGAGGAAAGGGTGGTTAATAGTCATTGAGCGTTTCCATCTCCAGGTGCCGACAGGAAGTGCTGGGCTTGGCCATGGTCCATTCTCAGGTGGCCCCAAGGACAGCACAGGAGCCGCTACTGTCCCCAAGAGCTCGGGGGCGGCTGCCTTTCCAGGTGTTCAGGAGGGCAGGTGGGGCTGTGCAGGCCTCATCCCGGGAGGAGAGCTCCTCTCCGTCCACTGACCTGTGGGCCATGAGGATGGCCAGGGAGCCTGCCCTTCGGGTCTGTCTCTGCATCCAGGACACCTGCTAACTGGCCCGTGACTGGCCCCTGGTTCTCCCCACCTGCCCTCTCGTTCCAGAGTGGCCCCCTCCCCAGGGAGGCCTGCCCAGGTCCCCTGCAGACAGGGCAGCCTGCTGGTCAGAGAGGCCGCCACCCTCCCCCCACTGGTGGTGGGAGCACGCAGACCCCTGTGCTGGGCGACCCCTCCTTCTCGCCATAGAACATTCTCTGCACAGCCGGGCTGAAAGCAGATTCACGCGGACTTTGTAACCTCCCAGGATGCTGTGCGTTGGTCCCTCTGGTGTCCTCTGGCCTCCTGTCACTTCCCTGCCGGGACACCTTCAGCAGCTCCCCCACTGGTTAAGTCCCCACTGTGGGGTCCAGCCCGTCTTTCCCAGGCTCCTCTCTCAGCCTCCGCACGTTAGTGTGAAATCCCCGAGGATCCGAACACTCAGCACACATATCACCTCCTCACCTGGCTCTTAACGCAGGGGAATCATTAACGTGGGGACCGCAGAGGCCGGCGCGGCCAGTCCTGGCATCTTAGGGATGGAAAAGGCAGGCCTGGGGCTCGCGCCCGGCCCTCCCTTCCAGGCCCCGCTTTCCCATCTCCCGTCTGCTGGGGAAGCTTTCTCTGTTCGACCAGGTGCTCCCCTAGCAACTTTATTCCAACTCTGCAGTTGCTCTTAAAACTCTCATCTGACTTCTGTCACTGTCTCATTTCCTCTATAAGCGATAAGCCTTATGAGGGTGGAAATTCATTCGTTCTCGCGTTCCCCCAGCGCCCATCACGGTCCTTCTAAATGCATTTTTGTTCCCTGATTAAACACAAGATAGAGAAGCCTGGTTCAAGAGGCGAAGTTTGGGGAAGTGGGATTCGAGGTACATCCTGTCCTCTCTGGGAGGTAAGCCCACAGAGCAGTCCTTGCAGGACAGGACGTGGGGAGCGTCCCAGCCGCTCAGTGGGGAGGGGGAGTGTCGGCTTGGGACAGAGGCCGCAGGCTGGCCGAGTGCGCAGCCCTGGCCTGGGAGGCGTGAGGAAGACCCTGACCGCCCTGGACAGCAGACAACCCCAATTCCAGTGTCACAGATGGCAGCCTGCCTGGGCTGGCTGGAGGTGGTCATGTCTGTGGTCACTCTGGGGTGCAGGGGATGGACTTGACCTAGCCCTGCCCGGCTCCCAGTCCAGAAGGGGAGCTGAGCCGAAGGAGAGGATGTGCCCGCCCAGGTGTGTGTCAGGGGCCCTCTGGTGAGGAAATGGTGATGGAGACTGGAGCGCGTGCCGGTGGACTTTGAGGGTGGGCAGAGCCGAGAAGAGGGGCTCTGCGGGCGCAGGAGGGACCACACAGGATTTGTTCCTGATGCGGTAGACCAGTCAGGGCTAGTGGTGGGGCCCACGGGGACAGAAGTGTGTGGGCGCCGTCCGCTGTATGAGACTGGGGTGCTGGAGGGAAAGCGGTGGCGCAATTCATGGAAAGGGCGCCAGGTAACCGCAGGTGGGTGTTGGTTCCCGTGGCCCTTCCTGTGCGGGGACAGCAGCTGCTGAAGACACTGCCACGTGCCCGCAGAATGATCCTCCGTGGTCCTCGCTGGCTCTGGCTCTGCCGCACCTGTTTCTCGAGCCCCTTTCGCTCCTTGGGCTGTGGGGCCTGCTCCCATTCGGAAGCGCCTCTAGGGCGTGAAGCTTTGCTTTGGGGAGCGGGAAGGTTTGTAGAGCCCGGGACGGCCGATTGCCCTCTGATTGAGAACATGAGGAAGCAAACCGTCCAGTGAATGAATTTCGTGGCGGCCGATTGCCACCCAGCACTTCAGGTAGCGGTGGGCCGGTGAGCCATAGTCCGGGGTAAAAGCGCAGCTGGGAGACGCTCAGAGCTGGCGGCTCCGGATCTGGATTTTTGGCCAACACTGTGTCTCCCTGGCCGCCTGGCAGGGCCCAGCAGCCCTGGTCCCCGCTGGCTCTCGATTGAGCTCACAGTCACTTCTTTCTCTCTGTCTCCATGAAGCGTGAGCCCCGGCCCTCAGCGCCGAGCCAGCCTGGCTGTGGTCGACCAGCGGAGTAGAGGATGGGGCCGGATGGGTGAGAGAAAGAAGGAAAGGACATCTGTGTTCCGTCAGTTCAGGGACCCTAAGAAGCCGCCTCTGTCTCCTGTCTGTTCCCTCGGTGTGCTCACTGTGGCTCACACCGTCCCCTTGGCCTCATGCACAGACGCAGTGCGCTGTGTCCCCAAGGTCACGGTTCAGACCTGATCCCCATCGTGATGGTATCAGGAGGCGATGGGTGCCCTGGTGAAAGGCAGCCAGACCCTCTGCCCTGTGGGGACCCAGTGAGGTGCCGCCTCCTGTCACCCAGGATGTGAGTCCTCCCCAGTCCCTGGCTCTGCTGGCACCTGATCTTGGACTCCCAGCCTCCGGAACTGGGAGAAATAAGCGTCCTGTTTATAAGCCCCCCATCTATGGAATTTTTGTTAAGATCGTCTGAATAGACTAAGACAGGCAGAGGTGGCCGGTCACCAGCCACGCTGGAGCTGGGCCCTCTCTGTGGCTCTCGTCTTAACTCGATCCTCTGCAGAGATCCTGACAAGGTCACATCCACAGGTCCTGGGGTCCAGAGTTCAGCATGTCTTTTGGGGAACACAATTCAACCCCCAACGCCTGTCTGCCAGGGTCAGGCGGTGCGTGTTTGCGTGGACTCGTGTGTTACTGTGTGTGTGGCGGGAAGGAGCACTTACTAACAAGGGCTCAGACAAGCGGTTTCTGCCTCCTCGGAGACACGGTGATGAAGGTCATGATGAAGGTGGTGGTTGCTGGTGTCAGTCCAGCTGCCTGGGGCTGTCACCAAGACCCCAGGATCTCCTGTGTCCCTCCACCATCCTTAGCGTGTTACCTTTGCCTTCCCGTGGGCAGCCAGGGGTCCAGATGGCTCGGGTCTGTGTTTAAGGTCGCAGGAGAGGGGGGGACGTTGGTGTCAGCCACCCCTGTCCCTTTTTATTGGGAAAGAACCAGCTTTCCCAGAAGTACCGGGGCTACTACCTCTGTCCGTCTCATTGGTCTGAGCTTTGCGGCAACTCCCGGGAGGGAGAGACGCTGAGAAATCGAGGCTGCGGGAGCCCCGAGGACCCTCTGTGAGAGGACTGGACCAGACAGAGAGGAGAAAAACACTGCGCGGGGTGGCGTGAGGTCAGACCACGTTATGAACCACCTTCGCTTCCCCCACCTTAAGGGCCAGGGTCTAGCCCGTGCGCGTGGCCGGAACACCCCGGTGCCCTGCAGTGTGGCCTGAGCGCTCCCGAACCTTCAGCTTTGGCTGCAGTGAGGAGCAGGGCACCCCAGCCCTGTCCAGTTCAGCTCTGTGTCCCTTTGCAGCCTACAGGGTGCCTGGCACACAGTAGGTGCTGTATGAATATTTGTTGAACTCATTAGGCATCTTTTCCCTTCAAAGACATTCCAGTCCAGAAACAGTCTCATCCATTCATTCTTCCTTTTGTCCATTTATCATCCATTTGGGCAAAGCTTTTTGATCCTGGGGGGTTCAAAGGCAGGTGGCGGAATATACAGTGGGGATGAGGGCGTGGAGAGGGAGGGGCTGGCGAGGTCTCCCCAGAACGAGATAGGGGGTGGCCTTCCGTACGCAACAGGACACACGTTACTCTCTTAAACTTTGGGACCATATAAACTCTAGGCTCACTCTAGTAAAACCAGCCAGTTGGCACCCAGGGGAGTCCCTTTCCATCCAGCAATGTCGCTTATTGTCCGTCTCTCCTATTTGCAAAACAGCTCAGACTTTTAGGTGCGTGCTTTTTAATATGCTGAATAAACATCGCCATGTCCCACCCTGAGCCAGGTCCCGGCGTGTAAGGCGGGCGCTGTGTTCTTAAAGGAATGTGCTCTTCCCGCCGGGGGGGGGGCCGGGGACGGAGTCCCTATCTGTTAATACTTTAATCACTCCCAGGATTCTTTCTCGTTGGCCCGAAGCCTGGGTTCCTTGGCAGTGACCTTGTTTTCTCCATCCCTGGCCACGTGCAGCGCATCCAGCTTTGTCCAAGAGGAATGGCTCTGCCCGCCGGGGCCGCTCGGCGGAGGCCTTGGCTGCGTCCTGCTGGCCTGGCAGATAAGGCTGGGCTCTCAGGGACCCTGTTTATCTGGGGCGGGCAGGACCTCTTACTGGTGTGGTAGGAGCAAACCAAGGGCAGACAGGCGCAGGGCACGCCACCCAGAGCGATGCTGACCAGGCAGGAGGCCCTGTCCCCATGGGCTGTAAGCCCTCGAGCTGTGGCTGGGGCCAGGGGAGCTGTGCTGCGAGCATGGAAAGCGTCTGCAGGGTTCCCAAGATCTGGCCTGAACAACAGAATGTCAGCTGTCTCAGTGAGACCTTTTATACTGGTTACAAGCTGAAATGACTTCAGTTTGGCTATATTGGCTTGCTTAAAACATTACTGGCATTGATGTTCCTTGCTTAGTTTTATTTTTTTATAAATGTGGACCCAGACCATAGCAGGGGGAAGGCCTGGGGGC